AAAAAAAAAAAAAAAAAAAAAAAAAAAAAAAGGAGTCTGAGTCTTGAAAATGCTCATAGCTGGTAGGTGGCAGAGCCAGGCCCCAAACCCAGGCTTACTAAAGATCTAGTTCCCTTTTAGGGCAGTGAAAATACTCTGATACATAATGTTGCATATATGTCATTATACATTTATCTAAACCTGTTCAATATACGACACCGAGAGTGATCCCAAAATGTACCGTTCTGGTGACTGATATTGATAACAGGGGAGGCTATACATGTGTAGGAGTAGGGGGCATATGGAAAATCTCTGTGCCTTCCCCTCAGTTTTATTGTGAACCTAAAACTACTCTAAAAAAAACAAGCTCTTTAAGAAGAAGAAAAAAATTAACACCAGACCCAAACCTGAAACCTTAATCCCCTATTTTATTTAATATTCTCAAGTAAAATTATGTCTGGTTGCATTGACCAGTAAAGCCCAATCCTGCCCCACTCATTAGCCTAAAGCCTACCCTTAGGGGCATGAAGCTGTAGTCAACAACACACGTGTAAGAGGCACCTCTGCCTTTTGTGCTTCAAGTTACCTCCTCCCGCCCCATGCAGTTCATTCTTTGGCTCATGGATTTTGACAGGTCCCTTTCTTGGGCCCAACTTCTTGGTATTCCCGTCCTTCCCACTTCACTTAGTCCTTTTTCTAGTTCTTGGCTTCTTCTCTTGCTCTTCCCTGATTGGTTTTTGTCTAAGAGTGATCACAGTGCTTCAGGTGAAATGTGCCTTTTCTGTTTAAGTATTGGGCATCTCCCAAGCCATCATGTTTATTAAAGATAATGTCAGACCAATTCTGGCAAAAACTTTGTTCACGCACTCAACTGTTCACACATGTCCTATGGGCAGGACGCCTTGGAAGAACAGTAGCTCACCTGCAGAGGTCTGGGGTAGGCAGGTTTGTGAAGGAGAGGCTCCGAGAGGATGTTTTGTGTTCCTTTCCTAGTTGGCCTGCTGCTGTGGGAATGCTGGCTGCTCCTACTGCTGCGGCTGCTGCCCCAAGATCCGCCAGTCCCGGAGCACCCGCTTCATGTACGCACTCTACTTTATCCTGGTCGTCATCATCTGCTGCATCATGATGTCCAACACCGTGGCCAACGGGATGAGGGAGCATGTAAGTCAGCCCTTCACCTCTTCCTACTGCTGATGAACGGTTGATGAGGGTGTGTGGGAAACATTCAGTTTAGAGGATGGGGCCCACCCACCCCAGGGTGGTTTAGGGTTATACCCGCTCTCCCTAAACTTCCCTGAAGCCTCTTCAGTGCTTTCCTTCCAAGTGGGCAAACCCTTCACCATCTCTATCTTTAGTAGAAGGACAGATGCCATCTGATGCTTTTGGTGCAGAAGATTGTGTGTGTTGTCTTGGCTTCATTTTGGGGTTTTTTTTGTTTGTCTTTTTTCCTTTTTGGCCATGCTGTATGGCATGCAGGGTCTTGGTTCCCTGATCTTGGCTCCCTAACCAGGGATCAAACCCGCGCCCCCTGCAGTGGAAGCATGGAGTCTTAGCCACTGGACCGCCAGGGAAGTCCCATCTTAGCCTTGATGGCCGTTCCTGATTAGATGTGTAGTCTTTTCTTATAGACCTTTGTACTCTTCCCTTGTCCTAAGGCTGTCTGCCAGTGTCTCTAGTAGCAGCTGTTATATATAAACACTTAATGTAGCCAGTATGGTAAAGCCTACATAATCCCACAGGTAATGAGGAGTGGGCTATTGGGCAAGTTTTACTTTTCTGTACATGTCACTTGTGGGGTGGGTGTCTCCAGGGGTGAGGGATGGATTTGCTTCCAGCCATTTCCTGGGCAGTGTCTACAAAGGTATCGCTGGTACTTGATGCTGATAGAGACATGTATAGGGCCTTTTACTGGAATTTCCTCATAGTAGGCCTGATTATGGGGTGAGGTATTGGGGGTTCTGAGGGAGCCCAATAAATAACACCATCCTTCCCCTCTGAGGTTTTGAACAAATTGACAAAAAAGACTACAATTTCAGCGGGTAGATGCCAAACATCACCTTTATCCCCCGAGAAGTTGACCTAAGACATTGTGACTCGTATCTGCAAGGAAGTGGTCTTCCTACTACTGAACCCAAAAATGAGTCAGACTTAACCCATCTGGGGACCCCACCTGAGCCAGGGAGTACTTCCTCTGCAGGGGCACAGTTTTCTGGGAAGAGCTGCAGGCGTGTTCTCTGGGGGCAGCTCTCCTCGGAGGGAAAGCGGGAGAAGAAAGTCTAGCCAGCCAGACCCCATTTGCCCCACAGCCTTAGTGCTGAGCACTGCATCTTCCTGGGGCCAGCAGAGTGAGGCGGGGGGGCAAGGTCAGGGCAGTGCCCTACTGGAAGCCTGGAGATGGCATCGCCAGGAGCAACTCCTGAGGAAGTGTTTGTTCTCCCCAGCCTTATTCTGAAACTGCAGACTATTTTTAAATGCACTCAGGGGCTTCAGAGCAACCATGTTTTTAGAAGCAGTTGTTATATTCTTATCCGTTAAAGTAGTCCCTTTGAAGCTTTCTGTTGGGTAATGCTTTTGTAATTGTGGTGGTATGATCTGGAATATACTGGAACTAATGTGAAAACTTGTGAAATTTAGATTCTCCTCTGATTGCTTTAAACAGTGGATCTCTGTTCAGTAAGGCCCTGCAGTGGGAGCCATGGGTCATTCAAACTTGAGAGAAAAGGAGCTTCTAACCCAGAGACAGGTATGAAGTCTTCTGAGGCTTAAAACCAGGTAGAAGTTGTGTCTTATGAGAGGATGCGTGAAGTGCTGTGGAAGTTTGGAGGCAGGGAGACCAAGGGCTAAGGCTGCCTTGTTCGTCTACACCAGGTCCTACTCCATCTCAGTGGTGTTTTCCACTCTTCCCTTCTTCTTAACTTGGTTTAATCTTAAATGTTTGTGACAAGAAGTTTGAGAGGAGGAATACTTGAAAGGGTAGATTTTAACTCTTATTCTGAAGGTCTGTTTAATCTCCCACTTCTTACCTTAGCTTTTCAGGTAACTTAATATTCTCTTTTTAAATGAACAAGCATTGGCTTAAGGACCCATCATCATCTGCTGCATCATGATGTCCAACACCGTGGCCAACGGGATGAGGGAGCATGTAAGTCAGCCCTTCACCTCTTCCTACTGCTGATGAACGGTTGATGAGGGTGTGTGGGAAACATTCAGTTTAGAGGATGGGGCCCACCCACCCCAGGGTGGTTTAGGGTTATACCCGCTCTCCCTAAACTTCCCTGAAGCCTCTTCAGTGCTTTCCTTCCAAGTGGGCAAACCCTTCACCATCTCTATCTTTAGTAGAAGGACAGATGCCATCTGATGCTTTTGGTGCAGAAGATTGTGTGTGTTGTCTTGGCTTCATTTTGGGGTTTTTTTTGTTTGTCTTTTTTCCTTTTTGGCCATGCTGTATGGCATGCAGGGTCTTGGTTCCCTGATCTTGGCTCCCTAACCAGGGATCAAACCCGCGCCCCCTGCAGTGGAAGCATGGAGTCTTAGCCACTGGACCGCCAGGGAAGTCCCATCTTAGCCTTGATGGCCGTTCCTGATTAGATGTGTAGTCTTTTCTTATAGACCTTTGTACTCTTCCCTTGTCCTAAGGCTGTCTGCCAGTGTCTCTAGTAGCAGCTGTTATATATAAACACTTAATGTAGCCAGTATGGTAAAGCCTACATAATCCCACAGGTAATGAGGAGTGGGCTATTGGGCAAGTTTTACTTTTCTGTACATGTCACTTGTGGGGTGGGTGTCTCCAGGGGTGAGGGATGGATTTGCTTCCAGCCATTTCCTGGGCAGTGTCTACAAAGGTATCGCTGGTACTTGATGCTGATAGAGACATGTATAGGGCCTTTTACTGGAATTTCCTCATAGTAGGCCTGATTATGGGGTGAGGTATTGGGGGTTCTGAGGGAGCCCAATAAATAACACCATCCTTCCCCTCTGAGGTTTTGAACAAATTGACAAAAAAGACTACAATTTCAGCGGGTAGATGCCAAACATCACCTTTATCCCCCGAGAAGTTGACCTAAGACATTGTGACTCGTATCTGCAAGGAAGTGGTCTTCCTACTACTGAACCCAAAAATGAGTCAGACTTAACCCATCTGGGGACCCCACCTGAGCCAGGGAGTACTTCCTCTGCAGGGGCACAGTTTTCTGGGAAGAGCTGCAGGCGTGTTCTCTGGGGGCAGCTCTCCTCGGAGGGAAAGCGGGAGAAGAAAGTCTAGCCAGCCAGACCCCATTTGCCCCACAGCCTTAGTGCTGAGCACTGCATCTTCCTGGGGCCAGCAGAGTGAGGCGGGGGGGCAAGGTCAGGGCAGTGCCCTACTGGAAGCCTGGAGATGGCATCGCCAGGAGCAACTCCTGAGGAAGTGTTTGTTCTCCCCAGCCTTATTCTGAAACTGCAGACTATTTTTAAATGCACTCAGGGGCTTCAGAGCAACCATGTTTTTAGAAGCAGTTGTTATATTCTTATCCGTTAAAGTAGTCCCTTTGAAGCTTTCTGTTGGGTAATGCTTTTGTAATTGTGGTGGTATGATCTGGAATATACTGGAACTAATGTGAAAACTTGTGAAATTTAGATTCTCCTCTGATTGCTTTAAACAGTGGATCTCTGTTCAGTAAGGCCCTGCAGTGGGAGCCATGGGTCATTCAAACTTGAGAGAAAAGGAGCTTCTAACCCAGAGACAGGTATGAAGTCTTCTGAGGCTTAAAACCAGGTAGAAGTTGTGTCTTATGAGAGGATGCGTGAAGTGCTGTGGAAGTTTGGAGGCAGGGAGACCAAGGGCTAAGGCTGCCTTGTTCGTCTACACCAGGTCCTACTCCATCTCAGTGGTGTTTTCCACTCTTCCCTTCTTCTTAACTTGGTTTAATCTTAAATGTTTGTGACAAGAAGTTTGAGAGGAGGAATACTTGAAAGGGTAGATTTTAACTCTTATTCTGAAGGTCTGTTTAATCTCCCACTTCTTACCTTAGCTTTTCAGGTAACTTAATATTCTCTTTTTAAATGAACAAGCATTGGCTTAAGGACCCAGTGTGGGGCTTCCCTGGTGGCGCAGTGGTTAAGAATCCGCCTGCCAATGCAGGGGACATGGGTTCGAGCCCTGGTCTGGGAAGATCCCACATACCGCGGAGCAACTAAGCCCGCGTTCCACAACTACCGAGCCTGTGCTCTAGAGCCCGCGAGCCACAACTGCTGAGCCCACGTACCACAACTACTGAAGCCCGCACACCTAGAGCCCGTGCTCCGCAACAAGAGAAGCCACGACAATGAAAAGCCCGCACATGGCGACAAAGAGTAGTCCCCACTCGCCGCAACTAGAGAAAGCCCACATGCAGCAACGAAGACCCAACACAGCCATAAATAAAGAAGGAAGGAAGGAAGGATGGAGGGAGGGAAGGAGAGAGGCAGGGAAGGAGGGAGGGAGGGAGGGAGGAAGGAAGGAAGGAAGGAAGGAAAAATTAAAAAAAAAAAAAAAAGGCCCCAGTGTGTCACTGTGATAGGAACTGCCAGTGTGTCCATGGTGCTCTTAAGAAGCTTTCAGTCTCCGTAGAATTAGGCTTTGGATCCCAGAAACACAATCTGAAACTACAAATGTATATAGTACCTCTTAGAGATGAACCCATCAGAAACATTGTTACTGGAGGTAAAGATAATTTGGGAACCACAGGACCTATTTTAGGATATGACTTTCATAATAATAATTTTAACATTTGATTACCATCCAAGTAACCTGCCTCATGGAACAGTCCCTAACAACTCCAGTCAGTATCTGACTGTTCATAGAACATTTAAGAAACAGAAGATTTAAAAAAAAGAAAAGAAAGAAGAGAAACAGAAGGTGTTGACTGGTGTTGCTAGGGAAGGCTTCATGGAGGAAGTGACTTGTGTGATAATAATGAATATTTCAATTGCTAATATCTGTTGGGTGATACCATGTACCAGGTTTTATTCTAAGCATTTTACATTATCATCTCAGTTCATGACCACTGTACTCACCTGAGCAGTATTATCCCTGCTCTACAGATGAGGAAACTGAGGTACTGAGTCATTTAAGTACCTTGCCCAGGGTCTCCAGCTCTAAGTGGTGGAGTTGGGATTTGAATCCAGGCTGACTGAGTTCTTAG